GACTTCGGGCCCCGGACCGGCTAGAAGGTGGCGCGGCTCAGGTGAGTGCGGCGCGCGCGGGGCGGGGGCCGCCAGTCTGGGGAGTGGCAAGGCGAGGGGCGATCGCGGTGCCCCGACTTGGCATACCGGACTTGGGGCCAGCGCAGAGCCCAAGGTGAGCCCGGGCTGGAGCAAGTGGAGTGCACGTAGTGGGGAAAAGGAAAGAGAGACCAGGGGTTTCCCCATCCTCCTCACCTCCTGCCTTGGCCCCTCAGCTCTGCAAGTCTTCAGGGACGGGTTTTTACGGCAGGTACCCAGGTTTCCGACTTAGTGGACTGGATTTTTTTTTCTTACTCCCCAGCAGAGTCAGGAGGTTCGCTCCTGCCCAACGCTTCTCCCTAGGATCGTGCGGGGCAGCAGGAGCGCAAAGCGCAGCGAAGCCCAGGTACCACTTTGGCTGGGAACTGGAGCGGGGATACAGTCAGCAAAAAGTCAGTCTGTTGAGGGAGCATCCAGGGTGGGGAAGCCTTGTTCTGGTTTGCTTTCGGAGTAGAGAAGAGATGGGGCATCCCCCGAGGGTGGGGATGCTCGGAGAGAGACTGAGGCGACAGACTGTAAGTAGCCCCTTTCCCTAATGCCAGTTATGCGCGGTTCTGATTTTTCATGTCACTTTTTACCTTTTTTTTTTTTTGCCTCTGTTTCTATTTCGAGCACCTTGGGTAGTGACGGCAGATGAGGGTGAGGGGAGGCGGGGCTCCAACCCGTGGTGGGAGCGTGTAGACCCCTTGCTCCGAACCAGGGGCACGCTCGCTCGCGGAGCCTGACGTCTCCAGGTGCGCTCTCCCAGCCAGGGGGCAGACCGTCGCTGCTCCCTCTTTCGGTCCCAGCCTGTCCCGGGAGCCTGAGGACCGCTTCTAGAGCCGGCAAAAAACGGGATGGAGGAGCAGGCGGGAGCAAACCGGGGCGCAGGGCATGGGCTGTTAGGTGTACTCGGCTCTGCCGTTGTTTGCCGGCTCTGTGCGTCTTCCATCGCATCCCCTCCGCCGGGTGGGCCTCCACGCTTTCTCGCATACCCAGGCCCCTCTCTCGGGAGAAGACTGAATCCCTCTTCCTCCGCCCTCCACTTTGCAGGACCAGTCTTATCCTTGCTTTGCCTCGCTCGAGTCTCGCTCCTCCCCCCAGCGTTATCCGCTGGCTATTTTTATCCACTACTTGTACAGAGATGCTTTTGGGGGGGTTCTGGGGAGGCGACTCCAAATCTCCTGCCTTCTCGCTGCTCCCCCAGAAGCGGTTCCCTGCTAGCAGGGAGCAGCCGCGAGGAACAGCCAAGGGATGAGGAGGGAGTGCGCCCGCTCCTCCTCTGGCAGCCAGAGCTCTCGAAACCAGGCACCACTTGCCCGGCGGCTCCGCTCTCCGCTCGCTGCGGGAGCAGATCCTCAGAGAGTCCCTCAGCGCCCGGGCGCCGGTCCTCGGCTGCTTTTGTGGCCATGGCACGTTTAGCCGCAGAATCTTTCGGGTCCTACTTGGGCGTTCTTGCTTTGCAGCCAAATCTTACCTTATTTTGTTGAAATGCAGTTACCAACTTCCACCCAAGGGTTAATGTCAGGAATTTCATCCAAAAAAAAAAAAAAAAGAGGGGGAGATAACACAATTTCTGCCTCCCTGCATTTCTAAAGCCCATCCTTTGGCGTTCGGAATTTGTCTTGCTTTCTGGTTTCTCAATAATGATTGGGTGTGATGCGAATAAGCCTGACCTAGTGAAATTCCAGGCGGTGGACGCTTCAGCTGCAAATCCCCGAGTTACTCTTTGTATTTCCAGTGCTTAGATTTTTTGCCCCTCCCTTAGGATTGCAGAAATAACATATTGAAACGGACCATTGTGTTACATAAGATTTTCTCCAGCGCTAGGCAGAGAAAGATGAGCTTCTCAAGGAGCCTCACAGCGCTTCAGTGGGTCCCTCTAACTCTTTCTGCCAAGTTCAACTGGGATCCACAACTTCGTGACTAAGCACTCTTAAGTCGAAGCAGTTAATTACAACAGACAGTAGCATCCAGTGAGGGTACCTTCCTGAGGCATCTTCTGCAGTGTTTCTGGGCTTCAGATCCAGACTGAAGCTGCCTGGTGTACAGATCACTGTAGCTTTAAGATGGGAGATTCTTTGCTTGGAAAACTGGTGAGAAAGTGCTACCTTGAACTTGCAGAGGATCAGGAAAAGCCCAGGGCTCTTAGCTGTGCTGTTATTATGCCCTGTATAAAACTTCAAGTCCTCCGCATTGTAGATGTTCAGGAACCCTTTACTTGGACTCTACAATATTAATGGGGGATGTGCTTTTGTTATCAAAAGAAGAAATTATCTTACTGGAAAAGTCCTGAAGAGCTCCTTGAAGGGAAACGCAATGTGGAAGTCTTTATCTTGAATTAAAATTTGATGGGACTAGAAAGGGGCTAGGAATATGGACTGGCTGACGTAAAATTGCTTGATTGGTGCACCGTGCCTTTCCCAGAATTCTGCCCAGGGTGGCACATACCCACACTGAGTACTGAGTCATGCTGTTTTTATTGCGGCCAGTTTGGACAGAGGGACAGTGAAAGGTACTGATGTCCTGATGGAACTGAGTCTGTATTTGGGGTCAAGGCTGAGAATCCAGGTTTCAGGGCATGCTACTAAGCCGGGATGTTTGTTTGAAAGGCAGTCTTGGAGAAGTAAAGGCGAGTAGCAGTCTTGGAGAGGAGCAGCCTTCTAGCTGCTCTGTGGGAAACACAGTGACTTTCCAGCTCTTGTGGAAAGCTGTAACTTCCCAGCAGCTACTGGGAGAGATCTAGCTTGGATGTGAGTATCTTCCTTCAATCCCAGGGATGAACCCCTACTTCCTAGCCAGGCCAACCTTTTCCTACAATCAAGTGGGGAGTGGTAAGGTGGCTAGCTGGATTTGGAGTTGGATTCTTGCCCTAGGACCCTAAACAAATTATTTTTCCCTCTCTGGGCCTCAGACTCTTCCCTGGCAAAATATAGATTGAAAGATTATTATGAGAAAGTTAAAAAAATGTATGTACAGAGCATTATGGCAGTTCTAAAACACTGGTGAAAAAATGTACAGAATTACTTAACTTGCTTTTCCTGCAAATTTCATTTGGTCTATTTTAATGCTAATTTTGTAGTTTGTGAATGTCTGTGTGGATTGCATATGCTAAACATTAAATGAGGGAGAGGATTTCATACAATAGGCCAGTATCGCCTTGTGATTATGCCTCCTGAAACCCATCAGCATCAGGCTTCACGGCTTCTCAGGGCCATTAGTTTCTTGATTATAGGATCAGAGTTAAATTTTTTTAAGTTTTTTTTTTCTCTTTTTAGCTTAATGCATTTCATATGTCTTAAGAAAACATATGTTTCGGGAAGGGCCCTAATATTGATTAACCGAAAAAGAGGAAAGTTGCAAATGGGTGTATCAGTTGGGGAAAAGTGATGCATGATCAGTTTCAGGACATGACCTAGGTCTCCCTTGTCTAAGTCTGTCATCAGCATAAAGCACCGTCTCTCTATTGCATTTCTGTTGTTCCACATCGGTCCCCAGGACCTAGCGAAGGGCCTGACGCTTAATAAATGCTTGATAAGTATTTTTGAAATAAGTGAATGAATGACTGAGCTGGATCGTCACAGCAACCCTGTGCTGTGCACAGGCAGATGGCATCATTTCTATTTTAAAGATTTGGAATCTGCCGATTAAAAAGTTAATTAATTTTCTGAAGGTACAGAGGATTCCAGATTGGAGTTCAGGTCTGTCTGTTCTCATTCCATTCCACTGTACTGCCTGCATGGCCCCCTCCCTTCCACCTCCACTTACAGTTCTCCTACCCCATGCACTTTTGCATTTTAGAAGTTTCCCAGAAACTGAACAGCCTTTGTATTCAGAGGATACCACCCTCCCCTTCTAAGGGGACTTTTCCATAGGAGGCAGGGCTCTTCCTCTGTGTCTGTATCTCCATATCTCCGAGCTCTGAACCAGGGCTCAGGTGGATGATCCTGTCTGAGACTTGGAAACTTGAGGGACTAGCTAAAGGACAAAAGGACAGCTGAGCATTTCTTTACCACCTTGGGTCATGAAATAAGTGGCATCAGCAGCAGCCTCAGTGTCCCAGGATGTCCCAGGGGTGCTGTTCCTGTGGCTTGGTCCTGATGCGTTCCCTGGTTCCTTTCGTTCCTTCTTGTTTCCAGGCTGGCTTTTCAGCTTATCATTAATTCCCAGAGGTGACTCATAGTCTTCAAGTAAATTCCTCCCCTCTCTGATTTAGACGAAATTGTAACCAGCTGATGCATACATAGCCTCTCACAATTCATCTTCGGTCCTGCCTCTGGCATGAAGCCTTCTCAGCTTCCTCTATCCTTGGGGAATTAGAGCTCATAGCATAGCTTTTTTAGGCCGTTAGAATAATATTTACTGGGCCATAATTTGTCAATAGTTATGTGATACCACAAGAGTTCTAGAGAAATGAATGCATTATTCTTCCAAGAAATAGCCTGAACATAACAGAAATAGATCCCAGTGGGCATCTTTACTTATTTTTTTCCCCCTCCCATGTTGTATGTGCATCTTGGGAACTTTCCAGCAGGGGTCGCTCACTCAAATAACTTCAGCAGCCTGGCAAGTAATAGCCTGAAGGAAAAGGGACCCGGGACAGGCTGGGTCAGGGGATACTTTAGCTCCAAACCAGCACACAGGTCGGGACTCAGGCCCTGTCTTGTGGCATCCAATTTTTTTTTCCATATAGGCTTTGTGTTTACAATTTTATGTAGATTCTGCTGACTTTTCAGTGACAGCAGCTAATTCAGTGTTTAAAAAAATTTATTGTGTGGGCCAAACAAAACACTTCTGTAAGGTCGGCCTCCTCATCTATGTCCCACAGGCCCCAATTCATGGCGCCCAGGTTCTGAGGATAGAAAAGAAATTGGTTGGAATATGAGACTCAGTAAAATCAGTTATTCAGAAAATCTAGGCCAGGGTGTGTCGAGAGTGTAGTGTAGACCCTGTACCAATGAGTTAACCTTCACATTTACAGAGTGTTTATTTGTGGTCTGCCTCTTCCCTGTCCTGTAAGCAGCTACGCCAATCACATTTATCCCTTTAACTCGTGTTTTATTGAGTTCCAGTCATGTACCAAGTGTTGCTCTACTCCCTGGTGACTCAATAAGGAATAAAACAGATGGAAATCCTTGCCCTTCTGCTTATCTTCCAGTGGAAGAGACAGGAAAAAGCAAGATGGATATGGACAATCCATCCTAGATTAGATAGTGATGTGCTAAAAGGAAAACTAAGTCCAGGGAAAGCCATATGAAATGTTAGGTGCTGGGATAAAACCTTAGGCAAGTGGCCAGGAATCTCCAAGTTCAGTCTCTGACTCAACATAACCAAAGTCAGGTTTCCTTGTCCGACATAAGAGATGTT